TTCTCTACGAAACAATATAGTGGAAAGTGCAAAACAATGAGTATTGAATAGAATATACGACCCTATGCAATCTAAATGAATGGTACGCGTAACCCAACGGTTAGGTTAAAAACAACCTGTTTTATTTTACTGTGTAACAGGTATCCTGAGCAATAAAAAAGCGAGCATTTCTCATTACATTATCCCCAGAACAGGCGATCCCACAGTATTCTTACTGTATGTTAACAACTGACTCAATGACTGTATAATGTTGGGTTAAAAACAACCCAACGAGTAACCCAACCATGGGGTGGTATAACATCTTCCCAACTATGGGTTATTTAACCCAACACCTGGGTTATTACTAGAAATGATCCAACGATGTTTAAAATAACCTAACATAATGACCCAATATGCATAACCCAATGGTTGGGTTAAAAAAATAACTGTGTAAGAAGTATCCTGCGCAATAAAAGAGCAAGCATTTCTCATCAAATTCTCCCAAGAACAAACGATCGAACCCAATGTATTCTTACTATATGTCAACAACTGACTCGATGACTATTCACTTAATAATGTTGGGTTAAAAACAACCCAACGAGTAACCCAACCATGGGGTGGTATAACATCTTCCCAACAGCCGGGTTATTACTAGAAATTATCCAACGATGTTTAAAATAACCCAACATAATGACCCAATAGGCGTAACCCAACGGTTGGGTTAAAAACGTGTAAAAAAAACTGTGTAAGAAGTATCCTGCGCAATAAAAGAGTGAGCATTTCTCATCAAATTCTCGCAAGAACAAGCAATCGGACCCACTGTATTCTTACTGTATCTCAACAACTGACTCAATGACTATTCACTTAATAACACTGGGTTAAAAACAACCCAACGAGTAACCCAACCACGGGGTGGTATAACATCTTCCCAACAGCCGGGTTATTACTAGAAATTATCCAACGATGTTTAAAATAACCCAAGATAATGACCCAATATGTGTAACCCAACGGTTGGGTTAAAAAGTTGTAGAAAAAAAAACTGTGTAAGAAGTATCCTGCGCAATAAAAGAGCGAGCATTTCTCATCAAATTCTCCCAAGAACAAGTGATCGGACCCACTGTATTCTTACTGTATCTCAACAACTGACTCAATGACTAATTCAATTAATAACGTTGGGTTAAAAACAACCCAACGAGTAACCCAACCATGGGGTGGTATAACATCTTCCCAACAGCCAGGTTATTACTAGAAATTATCCAACGATGTTTAAACTAACCCAACATAATGACCCAATATGTGTAACCCAACGGTTGGGTTAAAAAGTTGTAGAAAAAAAAACTGTGTAAGAAGTATCCTGCGCAAAAAAAGAGCGAGCATTTCTCATCAAATTCTCCCAAGAACAAGTGATCAGACCCACTGTATTCTTACTGTATCTCAACAACTGACTCAATGACTAATCCATTAATAACGTTGGGTTAAAAACAACCCAACGAGTAACCCAACCATGGGGTGGTATAACATCTTCCCAACAGCCGAGTTATTACTAGAAATTATCCAACGATGTTTAAAATAACCCAACATAATGACCCAATATGTGTAACCCAACGGTTGGGTTAAAAAGTTGTAGAAAAAAAACTGTGTAAGAAGTATCCTGCGCAAAAAAAGAGCGAGCATTTCTCATCAAATTCTCCCAAGAACAAGTGATCGGACCCACTGTATTCTTACTGTATCTCAACAACTGACTCAATGACTAATCCATTAATAACGTTGGGTTAAAAACAACCCAACGAGTAACCCAACCATGGGGTGGTATAACATCTTCCCAACAGCCGAGTTATTACTAGAAATTATCCAACGATGTTTAAAATAACCCAACATAATGACCCAATATGTGTAACCCAACGGTTGGGTTAAAAAGTTGTAGAAAAAAAACTGTGTAAGAAGTATCCTGCGCAATAAAAGAGCGAGCATTTCTCATCAAATTCTCCCAAGAACAAGTGATCGGACCCACTGTATTCTTACTGTATCCCAACAACTGACTCAACGACTAATTCACTTAATAACGTTGGGTTAAAAACAACCCAACGAGTAACCCAACCATGGGGTGGTATAACATCTTCCCAACAGCCGGGTTATTACTAGAAATTATCCAACGATGTTTAAAATAACCCAACATAATGACCCAATATGTGTAACCCAACGGTTGGGTTAAAAACGTGTAAAAAAAAAAAACTGTGTAAGAAGTATCCTGCGCAATAAAAGCACGAGGATTTCTCATCAAATTCTCCCAAGACCAAGTGATCGGACCCACTGTATTCTTACTGTATCTCAACAACTGACTCAATGACTATTCCATTAATAACGTTGGGTTAAAAACAACCCAACGAGTAACCCAACCATGGAGTGGTAAAACCATAGACTGCAAATTCTCTCAAGAACAAGCGATCAACACTGTACTGTTACTGTGTCAACAACCGACTCGCTGACTAAGAAGTGTGTTCAGATGCGCACTACTCAGGGCTGTTTGTTCTGACGTGTTACACGAACGCAGGTTATAACGTGTGCACCGACTGCAAAGAGCTCTGCTTTAGTCCTGTCACTCAACGCTAACACACACAATACTCATGCAGCTTTAATGAGACACACACTTTTGCACACAGCAAATAAAGGTGCACTTCTGAATGTGCGTGTGTGTGACAGCATAATATCAGTCTCTATCTAACACTGCAGATGTCAGTAGTTTAAAATTCAAAATTCTGAAATATATTCTTAGCTTTATCAACTTTTGAATCTATTTTGAATTGAACATGAACTGAATGGGAAAGATAGTGAGGAAATATATACAGTAGTAGTTCTGGATGATCAATATACTCAAGATGCACATGATATAGTATAGATTTCTTTTCTTTTATGTAGAAACTGATTTTAAAAGTATTTAGCAATACAACACGTCCTCTCTGTGTTATCATAAACATGGCAATGTAATATATGGCCACTTACAGAGACGCTTTGTAAGACTTTATCAGACTTTAATTGGACAATCTTTGAAACACAAATTAAGATATTATTAATTAAACATCAGGTAAAGCGCAATGTTTAGCAAATGTGACATGCTGATCATTGTTCAGATGTAAATAACCTGTTTGGATGTTTTAAGTTTTGGTCTGTTGCTCAATGAAGGGACAGAAACGTCCCAGACGTCATTAAAGTATCTTAATTTGTGCTTCGAAGAACATCGAACAACAAGGCGGTGAATAAATGATGACAGAATTCTCATTTTTGGGTGCACCGTCACTTTAAATGATAGCTATTGCTTTACTAAAGAAAATGTTTTCTTTTCTTATTTCCTTCACAATTTTGTACATAGCTCATCTGCAAAACAAAACAAAAATTAAGTGTATGAGTGGTGTGGTACATATTACAAAAGCTCATTAAAAAGCTCCAATTTTCATTTCTTTGAATTGGCATACAGTTAAATTCAGAATTCATCTTCAGACTATTGTGATTGTGTCGGTCAAACTCCTGTTTATATAAATGAGACGTTGCAACATTATAATTCCAGCAGGAATCTTGTTTGCCGTCCCTCGCTCTCCCTTTGGAGACACTTTTAATAAGAAGCTTAAAGAAAACACACTTGCTTAAACTTGCTCATTCTTGTCTTACTGTTATTTACTCTTATTTTGATTACCTTTTTATTAGTGCTGGGCAATGATTAGCTAATCGCGATTAATCGCATCCAAAATAAAAGTTTGTGTTTACATAATATATGTGTCTGTGTATGAAGAGTTCAGATGCAAAAGCCTCTAAATGCCATTTGAAATTTTCTTCTTTAATGATGATTTTTATCAAACTTGTATATTTAAGTTCAGTAATTTCACTTAAATAACAATTAATAGGTAATTATCATTGCCATTTAAGTGAAATTACTGAACTTAAATATACAAGTTTGATAAAAAAATCATCATTAACGAAGAAAATTTCAAATGGCATTTAGAGGCTTTTGCATCTGAACTCTTCGTATAAATATTTTGTACATAAATACACACACATACACATAGAAATATTTGCATGTATACTGTATACATAATTTACATTATATATCAATATTTGATATATTTTATATGAATAGCACAATTTCTTCTTAAATATATACATGCATGTATGTGTATTTATATATATAAATTAATAATACACACATATGTAAATGTTTTTTGGATGCGATTAATCACTACTTTAAGTTTTTATATTCGGATGCAAAGCACTTTTTGCTCCAGAAAGGTGCTATAGAATTAAAAATGACTTACCTACTCATCGGCAAACGTTGAAACGGGTAAATAACCAGTCACCCTGGCCTCCAGTCTGTGTTTACAATGCAAAACACACTTTTGCTATTTTTAGAGAGTGAGAATTATACTGATTTATCCAACACAACTGAGTGTGTAAACTCACATTTCTATAAAGTCTACACGGAAAACCCCTTTCACTTTTATTTTGTTAACCTGCTTATTGTTTTAAAAAGTATGATATTATGGAAGAAACTTCTGTTTTTGATAATAATGGACAGCTGAGAGCGAGTTACACTCAATTTTACTGTAACAATCACTGTGGTATTTTAGTCAGTCCACAACCTGAAATCCTGAATATGATTCACCATAAATGATGTTATGAAATCACTAATAAAGTACCATGCAATATGCTACAGGAGATATAACATGCTAGGACACGTAGGTATTAGGACACGTACCTCCTATTCTCTGAAGTATCATGCTTTATGAATATGGTAATTATGCCATATACCACGGTATTACCTCTTTGCACTCTCTGTAACTCATCTAACAGCTGTCAGTCAGTTTGCGAAGCGTATTAATCGCACGCGACGCGTCAACAGATGATGACACTCACAGGTCATCAGTGAAGAATCGCGGTTGCTATGATACTCGACTGTCTCGAGACAGAGATGCGGCTTAGCAACGACACACAGATGATGATGGTGATGATGGGCGTGATGGGCGCGATCTTACCATTACACTTCTTCATTATCCTGCCGAAACTACACGCAGAATCTCATCCAACGCGTCGTATATTCGGACGCGCTTCCACAATCGATCCCGCCCGCCGCTGCGATCATGTCTGAGTTTATAATGTTTATAATCCAGTGACAGCAGCACATCACAGGGAAGCAGAGCGAAAATAAATCTCACAGACCCCCAGGCGAGAGCAATCGAACGACGATCCGTGGGAGATCAAGATACACGTCTACGTTCACACACTCTGTGATAGATTACAATGTCTGTTGGAAGGGCGTATGTTTGTTTGGGTGAGACTGGACGAATGAAAGGGCAGATGCGCCCCCTGCTGGATGTGTTATTATATTATATTATATTGTATTATATTATATTATATTATATTATATTATATTATATTATATTATTACTAGAGAATCTGTAAACACTCTAATTCCTTATTTTGTTATTTTAATTCCTAATCTTCTTATTTGAACAGGGACATGTTAAAATTTCTCAAAAGCTTAATCACGAATTAAACCAATTCTCCCCCTTGATATCCACATTTCATTGCATCTAAATAAACTTCTTCAACACAGGGGCTGGATACTTAAGACATGCAATCTTTGGAGAACTGAGATTTATGATTTATTAAAACTCGCTGAACACATCACAACAGATAGGCTATAAGTTATCTATACCTCACAGTTTAAAATGATAAGACTACGATGAGATATGTTGTTGATATATATTCATCAGTTTGCTCCTCGAGGTGAAGAAGAATAAAGCAGTGTGAAAAAAAGTAGCTCCATCTAGTGATCGCTGATCATATAACACAATATGAGTAAGCTAAAAGGAATGAAAGAACTAAAACTAAACTAACAATAAATGGAGTTTATATAATGTGTGAAAAATAGTTTATTTCACTAAACTTTTGTTTGTCAAATAGCAATGTGATTTGTCAATCATTTTGTGTTCGTTGTGGTTACATTTAGCTAAAAGCCAATAAGCTAAACATTATAAATAGGCACAGATGTGCTTTCTTTACAATACTTTTTATACGATACTTTTACTTTTTATTTCACATTTGAACTGGCTAGCCTGTCCTGTTCACATCCCGTGTTTAGAGTGTAGCCTTTTTCATATTTCACTGTGATGATATCAACTCATGTGACTCGAACTGAACTAATAGAGCAGAAACCTTCTGTCGTGTGTTAATAACTGATGTTGTCCTGCTTCCAGCATCAGTGTCTCTCAGAAGACATTTATCCGTGATCGAGATCAAAGTCTCAGAGACTCCCGCTGAGAGCATGAACTGTGATCATAATAAACTCACACTTTAGTCACAAACTCCGCAGTGAACTAATAACTCGACAGTAGACACACACACACCTCTATTACCTGCTCAAACACCTTGTGTGTGTGCTGTGTGGAGTCATAACAGCCCTGTTTTCATGACGTCATGAGGAATCTGACCAAGAAATGTTCATTGTTCATTGTTATGTGACACAATAACAATGTAAATAAAGAACATTATGTTTTTAGCACCATTAAGATTTTTTATTGTTTTTGTATGACAGCATTTTCATGACACTGTTTTGACTTTCTTTACAATACGGTTCAATTAGTGAACATTATTAACAAGTTAACTTGTAGTAATAATGAACAAGCATTAATTAACCTTAGACTAGTCTTAGACTAGACTAGTTAACATTAGTTAATGCATTGTGAACTACCATGAACAAACAATGAACAGCTGGGTTTTTATCAACTAACAAAGATTAGTGAAAAATGTATTGCTCATTGTTAGTTACAGTAAGAATGCTTCGGAATAAGATTGGTCTTGTTTTAATGAAGACATTTGGCAGATTTTTGTAGAATTCAAATAAATTAAGATCACTGTGAAACAGAAAAAAGTTATCTTTAATTGGCAGACTTTGATATGAATTCAACACACATAAGAAGAACATGGATGTGCTATCTTTTGAACTCTTGGCATGAAAACAAACTAAGGTTTCTACCATTGTTTCATGATTCTTCATGTTCATCGCTATTTCAAAATGAACACACCGTATGAACATATTCTTGTTGCAAATTGATAGATTTATGGCTCCTCTGTATATAAAAAGTAAAAATAAATCATAATTGTGAAAATGGATTAAGGCAAGAAAGTCAGAGAGAAAATGAGTTAGATGATGTTGGCTTGCCTATATAAACATCATGTTGCTGCCTTTTTCATTCAGTTCATTTAGAGACTTATCTTTAATAGTTTTGTTACATTATTGATTGAAGTAATTCTATAAGTTTACTACATGAGTTCCATCATTGTTATTATTTTGAGACTTCTGCACACAATATAGATTTGAATTACTGTATCTATTAAACACACACAGATATCAATAATCAACGTATGAATGTTAACAATGGTGATGATAAAACTAAAGTGCAGTGCATGATTGGATCATCAATATCTCCCAGCATGCATTGCAGCATGAATAAGATATGCTGATTTGACTCAGTATTTTCTATTATTATCATTATCTGCTTTTATTTTTTGCTATTGTTTTTGTTGTAACTTTTCGGTAGCTTGTTTTGTTATGTTCAGAGTTTTATCTGATTATTTTGTTGTCTGTCACCATTGTTGAGATTCATATGCTGATTCCTGATGTATGTGTTGGTGTAAGCAAGGTATGCTGCTTAAGTTTAAAATGTGTTTTGTATATCATGTGGTTTGATTGTTGCTGTTAACTTGCATACATAGTGTCACGGAAATATTATGCTCAATGATGTGAAATATATTGGTATTTCACATCCCTCATACGATGAAAGATAATTCTCTGTATGAGATCAGTGAGTTAGGATGATTTTGTCATCATCAATAAATAGCTAATGTATTAATGTATGTATTAATACCGGACCGGTGATATTCGTCATTTATTTAATAGATATGAAGACTATTAACCTCTTTTTCCTCCCTCTCTCTCGGTTTTCAGAGATTTTTGTGGAATCAACTCCGGGCAGCAGAGCCTGTTTGCACCCTCCTTAGAAAACTCCTGGACTTTGAGTTGATGGGCTAGCACCATGAACAGCCTACCCAGTTCAATTATAGCATTTTATTGTAATATTCACAAATAACATGATATATACAATATACCGAATAACAATAACAAAATGTAATTCTGCCCTGTGAATTAATTTCTGGCAACTTAGTTGCAGTAAATATACAGTAAATTTTCAGCATTTTACTGTAATAATGCTACTATAATCACAGTAGCACTGCTGTATATTGTAACAGCAAACAATAAAAATCCTGTATAGTTGCTGTAATTCTACTGCATTTAGTTGCCAGGAATTTCCTTTAAAATTACAATAAATTGTTAACAATGCACTTACCGTAGTAATAAGAGTAAAGGATGCATAATCACATGCAACTAACCCTCAACCAAACCCTAACCCTACCCTAAACCTATAGTAAGTACATGTAGTTGACTAATATTACTCAGCACACTCTAACAATGACACCTTAAAATAAATGGTTACACTTTATTTAAGGTGTCACCGTTTAACAATTGTCATTAACATCAACAGGGGTTTGGGTTTGAGGGTTAGTTGCATGTAATTATGCATAATTTACTGTTATTACTGCGGTAAGTGCATGCAACACATGTAACAAGGACACTGTAAAATAAAGTGTAAAGTGTATATAACCAACATTTCTTATAACTTAGGCAAATTTTGATTAGGCGTTTTCTGAAACTAACCCATAAAGCCCTGCCAACTTGGTGACGTTTACTTTATGTCTGTCCATCAGCTGACCGCTAACAAACACACACACACGCACAGGGCCGCTCAAGGTTTTCAACAAGGCCTCGCTTTGTTGTTTGTAACCTTTTGATGTTAACTAAGAGCACGGGTGGCCGGCGTGCACAGAGAGAGTCCGCGCGAGAGAAAGCTTGCTTTCATAATGAATGTCAGCTCAGATAACAAAGCCCCATTTGCATATCATAATCCAAATCTTTCCTGCTCAGATCAGGTGCGCTGTGAAGGAATATTTTTCTTGGTTGCCTTTGAAAGTCTTTGATGTGCACAGCGAGAATGAATATGAAAAGGAGCTGCTATTCGATGAGGTCATGTTCTCTCTAACTCTCGTTCTCTACTCCTTTCTGCCTCCTGTTTTCCAAAAGGAAACCAACATGTGTAAAATGCTATTTGTTAAAACCTTCATGTTGTTCGTTCTGGGATATTCATGTTTTCTTCGTGCATAGTAATCAATAATATTAGTTAATTGCACTGTGAACTAACATGAACAAACAATGAACAGCTGGATTTCTATTAACTAACATTAACAAAGATTAGTAAATACAGTAACAATGTATTGCTCATTATTAGTTCACGTAACATATTCATTTTATAATAGTTCAAAAGCAAAACACGCAAAAGAACTGTAATGGCGAATAAGTGAGCGAGTGGTCCTCTGCTGCCATCTACCGTAACAGTGCTGATTTCATGTCATCTACATGTGTTTTCCACTAAACCATATACACTCTAAAAAAACGTTGGGTTATTTTTGTGTACCCAATAGCTGGGTTAAAAATATTGGGTCATTCTGCTGAGTTATTCGGAACATTTATTGGGTTGTTTATAACAACGCAGCCCATTGGGTAAAATTACAATTTCACTGGTTGGCCATCACAACTGTGACAGAAGATACACGGGTGAGTTAATATTACACTATACAGACTCTACATATTGAATAAATGTTATGTTTTTTCGTTATAACACTTTATAACGAAAAAACATAACATTTATTCAATATGTAGAGTTAGTGTTACTTTGAGCTCTTCCAGTACTATTGCCGCTTTTTTCTAAATGTTCAGCCTATTATTCCATGTTTATATCTCCCCTGTATACTGCTTTTTGTCCGCTATCTGCAACTAATGACCTATTTCTTAATACTCGGCTGTCTTCCTCATCCATAGTCCTGTATGACTTTATAACATTCAACACAGTCACACAATTGTCCAACTAATGAACCAAACACAAAATACTGTTAATAATTAGGTCTATTTGGTAATTCATTTTTATCACTCTAACATTTAGAATACATGTCTTTAAATAAAACTGACTCTCGAAAAAATTAAGAGCTTCAAAACACTTTAATTTGGACAATTTTGAAGATTAATTTCACTTGGCTTAAATTAAAGGGTTCATTAATCATG